AAAGAAGAATTATGGAATTTTGAACAATTCCATATTACCTTCATGACTGAATTGAAGGATATTGGGTTAAAGCCTTGATATGAGCATCAACAAAGTAGAATGCAGGTATATCGGATTGACTAGTTTCAAACAAAAGGAAACATGCATTTGGGATTTCATTGCTATCTGCAATTCCTCTACTATCATGTATTCATCTAAGAGCTTTAATCGATAATTTTTTTAAAAAGAGATTTCAATGAAGATTTTCCAGTGCAGGATGAAGTTAGAAAAAGGAGACCAACAGATCTCTCAACTCTGTAGTGTTAAGTAACCTGTTCGTAGACTTAATTGAATGAACATAAGTTCAATCCAATACGAGTGAGATGATAAACACAAACGTAATAGAGTGCCTGTGCTGCGATAACATAAATGTTCAGCACTACTCGGTTCCCCAGGTAATAACAGACTATGATGAGAACAATCTTTAAATACTTTTTCTTTCTATTATAAATTGTAATAATCCTTCTTGTAGTTTACATGTACACAACAGCTAAAGCAAATAAAACACACTGGCATTTGAAAAAAATGTGTATCAGGTTAAAATATCAACGCGTACATTGACACTGGATAGTTACAAAGGTCAAACTACGAAATTCAATCATTTTCATAAAGCTTGTTCACTAATAATAATTTTGTAGTCACTAGTGACTAATTTTTAGATTTAATTATGGGAAATCCAATGAGATGTTGTGACCAATTAAGTTTGATCATGTTAAGATTGAGGCAGTTACCCACAAATAGGATTGAATGATCACGGCACCACATTATGGATTAATTAAAGTTAGAAATGTAAATCACTAGGTGTCAGCTCAATCGTTTAAAAGTCAGAAGTTCGCCGCAAGGTATGACAATCTTGAGTTTGGTCTATAGTGAGATTGTGGATGGAAATCAGTGAACCCCATACTAAAAAACAATAGTTGTCCAGTAGTTTTGTGGTGTTCAGTAGATGTAAAACTAATATCAGTCCATGATGCAAAACGAGAAAATTCAACAATTCCTATTAACTTTCTATACTAGTAAGACAAATTATAGTTGATAATCACTATGGTAGTTTAATGTAGGTCTTGAATAGCATAAAGATTATTTCAATGACAAAAAAATTGAAATCATTAGAAAAACCACTACTGAAAACTAGGAACTAGTTCTATGTTTCAGACTCCCACAGGACTGTGACATACTAGGCCAATCAGGAATCAGCTAAATAATAAGCACACTTGATTGGCTTGAAATGGCTTCCAAATCTCAGGAATGAGAGATACTCCATTGGTTTAATTATATATATATATATATATATATATATATATATATATATCGATTCCTTTTATTCAATAAACTTCCTTTTCATTTTAATAATCGGTTGGGTTTGTATGTAAGAAGTTCACATATCAGTATCAACTCTTGGACACCACACATTGCAACAGAATGCACAACCATCGCTGTATGTTTTAAGTGAGATCAAGTCTAAAATTAGTTACTCTGATGTCTGCTGCAGTATTAAACAGAATTCTCTTACTCGAACTTTTATCATAATACAAGTATTAATTTAGGATGATTATTGTTCAGTGTCATTCATCGTAAAGTAGCTGACACTTTCCGTGTCTTTCGATTAGGTTGATATCACTGATAATATCTTCCAGGAATACAGCTTCACGAAAACTATCTGGACATGAATCTGTATTAGATACATTATTATTATTATTTATCATAACAAAATTTTAACAAATTGACAAAGGATGAACTCGTGAGTCCATCAGACCAAACTTCACCCATTATCTATATAGACACGACATTACTAATAATAATCAATATACCTTGTTTATCAAAATAACTCCGCGGTTTGTAACCAGGTCATTTTGCTTTCAACTATTCGGAAGATTTACTAAATATCTATTTATCATTCAATTTTGTAAAGGTTTTACAGAGATATTTGTAGATGATATACGTCACTGACTGAACTCATTCGGAGTACCAATCAAAAATCAATATGAAATAAATGACTATTTTGTCTCAGTATGTAACTCTTCAAGATTACACACCTATGACTTCTTCACTAGTGATCGAGCCTAGGACCTTCTGTTTTTACTTTCATCACTGAATCATTATGAAACCATTAATTTAGCATATAATCAAATCATTTTATAGTCAATCTATCCATTATTGATATAAGTGAATTTAACATAAAGTACAATCTAATTAGTTTGTTAGATATTTAATCCTAATTTTAAATAGATAAGGTAATTGTATATACCTTAATTTACATATATGTATATATAAATTGCCTATAGACCTTTAATGCCACTATGATACATATGAAATGTTATTATTATTATTATTATTATTATTATTATTATTATTATTGATTTATATAAGGCACGAAAAGGAAGTAAATGTTTTGCAACTAAATGAAAATAGAAGGAAGAGGATTTGGTACATGCCTAGTTCTTTATCAATATATACATATATACATACATATACTGGTTGGTTGAATATCAGTTTTAAATGTCAAGGGGTTTTTAAATGATAATAATAATAATTGTGATAATAATAATAATAATAATAATATTGATAGTAACAATATATGTTGATAGGTATAATAGCTCGCGTGTTTAACATTTTCCATCGTTTGCTATTATGGACTATTATCATTATTATTATTATTATTATTATTATTATTATTATTATTACCTTTTCAACTATTCTTCCTCTTGGAGAACAGGTGATTTGCAAAATTACTTGTGTGCTTGATATTTTTCAACTCGTGAAGAAATGCGAGACGTGCTGTATACGTATATATGTATATGTAAAGGATAGAAAAATCTGTTTCTTAAATGTAAGTTTATATTTGTTCGTTTCCTATTAGTTAGTATATTATTCCATTTAGAAATAAGACATGATAATGTGTACTTATATATGTGTGTGTGGTCCGACCCGGATGATAAATATTAATATTACTACTACTCATACTACTACTGTAGTGAACAACAACATGAGTGTGGACAATCGAGTGTATTTGAATACGAAAGTACAGAATAACTTAGTCAAATCTGAGAATTATACAGTAAATAGTCCATTTGCAAAATATCAATCAATTGTCTCAGACTACATTGTTACTTCGTTTACGCATCAATCATTCTCTGTTCTCGTTCTCTTCTCTTCAATCTTCTTAATCTTCTGCTGTCAGGCATTTTACTTTCAATTGGTGATACATACTACTTATATCTGTCGACATTAGTAGCACACATCACACTACTGCTGAATAATGATTTAAGTAGGTTAGAAGTCAAAAACAATCGAGGTTTCGGGATGTCACATGTTACTACTTATAAGTTAGTCGTATTTACCGTGTTGATACGACTAGTGGATGGTACACGATTCAAATCGATGCTATCTAGACATCAGAAAAGAATTAGTAGGTTCGAGACCAAATCATCCGGCTTTACAGTCTTGCTCGAATAGCTCAGTTTTAATGTCTCATACTGTGAGGTTAGGTGAACAGCGTTAAAATGTTTCAGGTAGCATTAGTTCCCTTAACATTACAAGTACATCTTGGTGACGAGTTGTAACTGGTTCTTAAACCTATGTTCGAAGTTTTCTACTGGATCCCTCCAATCAATTAAGATTGGAGAACATGATTAGCTACTAAAAATCGAAAGAAAGACAAAATACTCACGAAACTTTAAATTAAAATTCTAAAGAATCAAAATCTCCAAGATATCACGATCATTCATTTAAAAAACCATCTCTGTGTTTAATATGAATAAATGAGTCAATTAGTTAAACAATTCGAGTTGTTTTGACAGGACTTAAGGTTTAATTTTAAACAGCTTAACTTTGAAATGTAATTAATTTCACATAATTTCAATTACCCGTTAAAATAACTTCAGATTATCTTATTTCCAACCACTGATATGAGTAAATTTAAATGATCTCATAGGTTGTATAAAATTTATAGAACAGATGTGGTTGTAAACAACTCAATAGTATTAGTTCAGTAACAAACGACAGTACAGAAGAAAAAAACTATCTATCATCTAACCTTCAAAATCTGAAAATCATAATGAACTGACAATCCGTACTATTTACTAAGAAAACAATGTTGAAATTAACGTGAGCGTTTCCAAGTTTCAACAAATATATTGCAAGGGGTTTTTGTGGATTTATAATAATTTTAATAGTTGAGATAATGAGTCAATTGAAGCTAGACCACCTTGGAAAACCTAGAAGCACTGGACGGCCATCCCGTCCTATTGTGGGACTCCTCAGTAGTGCACATCCACGATCCCACTTCGCGATATTCGAACCCAGGACCAGTCGGTCTCACAAGCGAACTCTCAACCTCTAGAACACTGAGCATGTCGGCATCCAATCGATTTAATTTCTAACTTCAACTAATCCATGAAATTGAGCTACATATCCACCATTGTCATCAGTGAGTGACTATTTCACAACAGACCTGGTTGAACTCCACTGGACACTGCTCCTTACTAGAATTCCAGTAAATACCTCTTGAAACGAGTCCCTAGTGAGCATATGTTGATTAGTATCAGAAGGGGTTTTTGTGGATGGCTGTTTCGTCCAGTGCTTCCAGGTTTTCTATGGTGGTCTAGATTCAATTGACTCATGATCTCAACTATTGAAATATATTATACCCATCAATGTCGGCCATTTCCCCGTTCATTTTGTAGGTAATTAATGCATATAACAGTGTATTCTTCATTGGACATGTAACTACCAGCTCTAACTTCTAATATTTATGTGTTCTATTATTCAATATTTTGATTTACGATGCCACTCAAAATATTCATTTAAGAATAAATTGAAATACCTAAAATGAAGTATTTAGCGAAAATCACATTCTAACCCTCAGTACTCACCTACTAGGCAACACACTTATTGAGCATTATACAACGCACTGAAGAAAACAGCGATATAATATTGATCATACAAAAAATAAAACTTACACATTTTCATTTAATTGTTCCGTATGATTATTGGCAAACTTCACTGGAGCTCGTCTAGTATTCAAATAATCAATATTTTTATCAGATAAATTGATTATACTTTTTAAATTAACTTGGTAACAGTTATCAATTGTTGTAGTATTATGTGTGAATGTTGTTGGTATTGTTGCTGAGGCTTTTGTTTTAATGTAATCAGTATTGTTCAATGTTGAATAATCATTATTATTACGGTTACTATAATTGTATTTAAGATTTGTAACATTGATAGAAATTTTAGTTTGATTATTTGTTAAATTATTATTTGATAATTGTTGACTGAAGTGTTTTTCACGATGTAGATCAGGAGCTAAAATGGAATGCAATGAAGAGAAAAATGTAGATCTATATCATAAGAAAAAGTCATTCTTCTTCAAACTCACTAATTTTCAGCTAAAACCAGAAAAAAATTACGGTTTGTACAACAAAACGTTAGGAAGGTCATTACTAAAAACCCGGAAACACGGTACAGATATTTTTTCCAGAGTCGCACGCTAACTCCAAGGGGTCGAACCTATAACATTCAGTCTAGGACTCGAATGCTCAACCTCTAGATCACTTAGCTAGCAACCAATGTTGTACATGTACAACTTCAATCCGTCCACGATTTAGCACCATTATTATCCTTTACCCTAAGTGGAGAATCGTTCTATAACATTCATTACAACTGTTCACTAGAACAGTTCGTGATTTAAACTATGAAAATTCTACAGTCTCCACAAAACTTCCTATACTTACGAAAAAGTTATAATTAGTAAGCGATAGTGTTTTACTGTTGTAGGTAATAATAATGATAATAATATTTGTTGAACAAAATAACTGTTTTCTGGACTCAATAGCTCAGTGCATAATGCATTGGCATTCCAAGTGAAAGGTGCTGAACTCGAGTCTCATTGTGTACATCAACAATGGGTTACAAGTACATCAAACTGATGTCTCTCAAATAGGATGAAATGTACGTTTTGGACTCTACTGCTAGACACAACACATTCATTCTTTAAAACGTATGATAAAATGGCTAACTCGTGAACATCTATACATGATGCATATTTGGTAACAAGGACTGATTAACATTCTATCCTACAACGAGATAATTCAAACTCTTTCGACTGATGATACAAACGTTCTATTCGTTCAATAAGGAAGTGGATCTACTCATCGGTTTCTTGATGTTCACATAGCTTTAAATACCGTGCTATTCAATAAGCTACTGAGTTCAGATAACTGAACACAAATCTTTAAAAATGTCCCTTTATTAAACATCTATAAATATTCAACCATTATCAAATCTATGGCAGTAGCACACAGTAACAATGTAATGTTTCTCATATAAAACTTATTCATATCCATTAAAAACCATTCGTCTAGCTCTACACTCACTTATAAACACACACTGATTGGACACTTTAATGATTGACGTACATAATCAATCACTGCTAGATTGCATGCAATCACTTACACATAATTATTCAGTGTATTTCACTGAGAAAGAGACATGTCTTGTAACAATTATATGTATATATAATAATAAACATTATTATTATTATTTAATTACACCATTACATAATATGTAAACATTCATATTATTGTTTGCTTTTTTTCCATCTCAGTAAACAATCACTACATATTTGTGAATAAAGACTTCAACAATACAGTTCGACATTCAATCTATGCATGATTGTGATCATGTTTAATGGTGCATTGAACATCCTACCAATCATGGTTCAAGTGTTTTAAATCATTACAAACGTCTATTAAACCAGGTTAGTATAACTTCGAAGGGTATATACCTATATATGTCGTCATGTAACAATATGCATGTGACCAACCAACGGAGACACATTGAAATACACATTAACTATTGTGAACAGACTGTAACACTTGTGTTGGATGTTTTGTGGGAAACATAAATAGTTTTTCATAATTTTAAACAATAAAAGTTTTTTCATCCATAGTTCATTCATTCACTGATTGTTTAATTCAATCATTGAATCATGTTTGTAACTATGGCGTTTTTACAATATAATCACTGCATATAATTTATATTCTACTTCAAATTGAAGTGTTAAAATGAGAATAATTTCATGCATCTAGTAATTTGTAAGTCGAATTCAACAGGTGTTTTCCAGGTTTAGTACTATAGAACATCTGGAAGCTAACAACAGTTGTTTCGTCCTGTTGTCGAATAACAAGTCGACTATGTGGTCACCTCAGTGGATCAATCTTCTTATCATAATCCAGTCAACTTATTCGCACAAGACAGTGTAATGTGAACATTGCCAGTGGATACTCGTTACCATTAATTCAATATTATCTGTATTACGGAGTTTTGAATATCACGTAAGGACAATTGACAGTCTAATGCTCAACATACAACTCTAATTTGTGACAAGAGAATAGACCATTCATTGTGATTCAGTTCAATAATTTAGCTAGTAGAAATGTACAGTACACAATCACAGAGCTCTACATGTTATTGTACAAAATACAATGGGATTTAAGATAGTAAAAGGTTGAAAGTGGTTTATAATACATTGAAAAATCCATGACAGGTTCGGACAATATATAATTGAGTTATCACTGAGTAATTATCAGTTTCAAGTCTGTCTAATCTCCTTAGGGTTAATCGAATGCTATTGACCAACTTCCGATATGTCAACTAGTCTAAGTGACTCGACATTGCGTACACCATGTATGGTGTTCCGTGATTGTAGGTAATTAAATCCCAGGGAATACCAAATCTAGCTTTCTCAACAGTTGGCACTCGTCGACATAACATGCCCGAAAACTTGAAGGAACTAGTGATTTTTGGTGGGTTACCAGGTTTCACAATCAGAAATATCACACGGACCTATTCGTGTCACGTATGACCCCTCATAAGAGTGCGATATCTTCAATTGATTGATTATTGAGAAGTGGACAACGTCATGTTTGTGTGGTCCTCTCATCTACTTCCAACCAGCCAATGTAGAAATATACTTTACTACAGTATCTCAGTATTATACTATGAAAGTTCTTTTCTTCTTATCTTGATTAATTATAAACGTAGGTTTGTGTTGTGTAACGCAAGTAAATTTATGAATTGTTTTTCTCTTTGAAGGAGAACACCAAGTTATTTTGTAAGTAGTAAAACCCATTGTATCATTTGAGATATTAACGAATATCATTTAAGGAAGTCAACCCTAGAAATTCTTTACCTAAATTACATGTAATCATGTATTCACGTGTGTCTACCCGAAACAATCTGACTGACAAATCAAGTGCAATATATTTATAGGGACTTAGTAATTACAATTAAGGAATTGAGAGTGATAGATTTAATAGAAACTGAACTCGAGAGAAACACAACACACATACAAATCAAATTATGCTGATATGTAGTCAGAGCACATACAACCATTCATGAGTGTAAATATTAGTAGTATGGTGTGATCATAGAATAATTATTTAAATAGGTACATTTGATTATAGTCTGTTGAAATGAAAGTGTGCTGACATCAACGTATCATAAGAACCAAGTTAATGAGTGATTTTCACATGTTATACAAAAATGAAGGCTTCCTGTCTAATTTACCCATTCTAATTAATTGGGTGCTCCAATTAAACGTGTATGAGCACCAGAAAAACTTGGATTATGATGCTACTGTAAACAACTCTAAATAATAATTCATTAATAAGGGTTGTTTAAAGTTTTTTGATACTGAGAATTACAGTTGATCAGTCGACTTTGGTAAAATGTACTGGGTTACAGTACCGGTGTGAATATCAACACTGAGACGCAGGCATATACAGTTTATAAGTCTCAAACTGGGAGAAACGACCTTCCAGAATTTCACTACTAGCCACTATTCAACTCTATCTAAAGTTCTAATCACTGTTAGAAAAATTCCAACGAATCATGAAGGCACAAAAGCGCTTCAATTGCACTTGGGGAATACGGAAAACAGGAAATGAAGTAGACATATGACGGGCAAACTTCAGTATATGTTCACAAAACTAGGTCCAGTGTATATTCAACAATAAATGATAATAAGTGTGGGTATTATGATTTCGATATTCCATGTATATTTAGCCATCCTCGATAGACATAAACACTTGTCTGAGGTCGTAAAAAACAGTGCTAATATCAGTGTACCATAAATACAGCTCTCATAATGAGATATTTACAAAGTGATATATCAGCTTGATCTTAGAGATATTTTAAAGTCAACTTATTCACTACAGAAACCTTAGATGAAAAAACAATAGCAAGCATTTCTTTAAATGTCCTTACTGAAGTGGTATTTATTGACAAACAGAGTTACATATTAGTATCATGTCTGGACGATTTCATTTGTTTACATCTGTAAGCAATGAAAAATAGTGTTAAGATAATATCAGTCACTCATGGAGATGGAAGAACTTATCAAATACAAATGAGAAACAGGGAAAGTGAGAAATGAAATAGTAAATGACGTTTGTTCCAAATTCGACATATGTGTACAAATTTAACATAAATGATGAATGAACATGGTAGATCACAGTTTATCTGTTAATTCATGTTATAGAATATATAACATGGAAAGTCTTGGTTGAATGATCTGAACAGACCAGTTTAGATTGAGGTTTGTATTCATCACGAGCTGACAATTTACTAGGAAATCATTGTGAATAAAATGTTCTCGTGTTGAACTTTGAGTGATAAAAGTATACTTGGCTGAATAACTAATCAAATCAAAGATAGCGGCTAACTGATTTTTGTGCAAAATTCAAATCATGGTGACACAGAGCTGTATGGGGATGTAATAAAATCTACCAATAGTTACAGAGACATTTAAAATTAACATAACAACCGTTATATGACTAAATAATACGAACGGATTTGGTCGTCTCTTAAGATTACAACGAGTAAGTGATAATTAATGTGCATGAAAATACAGTGGAAAACAAATAGAACTGAGACGTACACAACATCCTAACAGGACTTGTGCATTTCCAAGGTGACTTAAAAGTTCTTGAGACTTAAATTCCATCTGAAAAAGTATTCATCATTACAGAAACAAGGTACCACCTTACCCCAACCCTAACTCTTAACACTATCGTTTGACTATTTTACTAATTCAACATAGAAGGATTCTAAAGTCATGTTAAAATTGTTTTATCATCGTAATCTCATAACTCTTTATATTCTAAGTTGTTTTATAACCAAACACAAATTTCTGATGAACTAACAAGTCGTTCAAGGTATTCATTATGGTTTACTTCCATCTGTTCGGCTCCAAGATTACTTCCTGAAGTTTTAATGAGAAGTTATGACCAACGATGTTCAAT